TTGCGTAACCCGACGCGAGCTGCTGGCCATTGTTCACTTTATACAACAATACAGGCCATACCTGTACGGTCAACGGTTTACCGTGCGTTCCGATCACTCTGCGTTACAATACGCTTTGCGCATTGATCAACCGTCTGGCCAGCTCTCCCGATGGCTTGAAGTCCTCCAGGACTACAATTTTATGGTGATTTACCGCAAGGGTACACAGCACAGTAATGCGGACGCGCTATCTCGCCTCCCGTCAGAACAATGCGCCTGTTTTACGGGTTCTGGCCGGTGCAGACCGCAAATAGTACGCCCGGTTGCACCTCTTGAAACGGTTTCTGCTGCCCTTCCTTCCGATCCTGCGCCGGGTGCGGACCACGAAAATCCGCCAGCAAGTGACGACTTGCTGGGGATAACGTTGGACGAATGGGGTCGGCATCAAATGAACGATGCGTCATTGTTGCCTCTGCGTCGTCGCGCATGTGATTCGTCCTCACGTTCAAGTAAATCGAACTCTTTTGCCATGCGCCGCGGTCTGCTCATGCATTGGGATGCTGATTCTTGCCAGTACAAAATTGTAGTGCCATCGGCTTTGCGGTGTTCGGCTGTGTGCGCAGCACACGAGCGATTGTCGCACCTGGGTGTGCATAAAACCATTGGGTTGCTAAGATTACAATTTTATTGGCCGGGCATGCTTCGCGACGTAACTGATATTTTAACGGGCTGCACCCAATGTGCGCAACGTAAACCTCCAGCGAAGCCGGCATGCCCACCGCTGCAGCCCATCACGGTATCCCGTGTGAACGAGCTGGTTGCTCTCGACATTTTGGGGCCTTTCCCTACAACGCCTCGTGGTAACAAGTACCTGCTGGTTGGGGTGGAGTATTTTACACGGTGGCCTATGGCCTGGGCCCTCCCCAACCAGTCGGCAGCAGCCGTGGTGGACGCCTTTGTTCAAGGCTATGTGCTGGACAAGGGCGCTCCAGAACGGTTGCTGACCGATCAGGGAAGAAATTTTTCCAGTACCCTGCTGAGTGAGGTATGCCGCCTGTTGGGCACTAAGAAGGTGCGCACCTCGCCCTATCACCCCCAAACAGATGGCATGGTGGAGCGGTTGCATAGAACCCTCACCTCTATGCTATGCCATCAGGTTGACGAATCCCACTTAGACTGGGACCTGCAGATCCCAGGGGTCCTCGCTGCTTACCGCATGGCGCCACATGCAGCGACAGGGTTCTCCCCATTTTTCCTAATGTATGGCAGGGAGGCCATTCCCCCCGCTGATGTGCGGCTTGGGATAGAGCAGCTTCCACAGTCATCGAAGCTCACTGACCATTTGCGGTTCAACCTGCAAAAGCTGTCTGAGGCTCGTGATGCGGCGATCGAAAATTCCGCTTCCCGCCAGCGGGCAAATTCGAGGTTGCAGGCCCCTCGCACGTCCGTGCATCGGTGGGCTCCAGGTGATATGGCGTGGCTTCATTGCCCCCAGGTGCCGGTGTCCACATCGGCTAAACTCCTAAAACCATGGCGAGGTCCGGTCGAGGTGGTCCAGGTAATGCGCCCACAGTGTGTTAAGATACGTTGGGGACGACGGCGCTGGTCCGTGCACCCCTCTCGTCTGAAGCCATTTGTTGCTCCGCGCGGCTCTGCGTCACACTCAAAACACGAGGACCGAGCGTGTGATATGCCCGACGAGCCGGATGTCGCCCCGTTGGTACCTAACCCACAGTGCAGACGTCTCATTCCTCCTGCAGATGATGCGGGACTGAGGGAGCCGTGCGAGCCACGAGTCTCTGCACGAAGGCCCCGGGAGCCGCCCAACATGTTTGCCAGGATGCCTGACCCGTCTACAACAAGAGTCTCTGCAAAGAGACCTTCTGACCCACCCAACATGTTTGCCAGAATGCCTGACCCACCCAACATGTTTGCCAGAATGCCTGACCCGCCCAACATGTTTACCAGGATGCCTGACCCGCCCAACATGTTTGCCAGGCTGCCCGACCCGTCTGCTCCAAGGGTCCCCGCAGAGAGGCCTCCTGCCCCTGCTGACATTTTTGCCAGGATGCCTGGTCAGCCTGCAGCCCGGAAAGGGGCACCCATCCCCTACGACGGGCCCGCGAAATACACACGGGCTAGATCGCGTCGCTTTTCTTGATTGCCCATAATTTTTTTTGCGGCAGCTGGATGCTGCATGCGTTGTGCGTCGCGAATGTCGTTATTTGTGATTGGTTCTGACCATGTACATATGTTGCGTTGTTGATGGGGGGGTATTTGTAGTGGGTGTTCCTGTTCTTGTTGGATGTACCTGTTCTTGTTGGTTGTGGCACACACACACACTTTGATTCATTGATGGTGATTTTCTGCTTGTAACAGCCGGGACGGCTGAGGCTTCCGAAGGGGAAAGTGATGTAGTAGAGTTACCCACTCGATATTCACAAACAGGGAGAGCTAATCGTTGACAAGGGTTTCCCGCTCAAACTAACGGTCAGGGTCTCACAAGTTGTGAGAGCTGACCGTAAACAAGGTTTTCCCGCGCGACCTAACGGTCAGGGTCAGATAGGATAAATTGGGATCGAAAAGCAGATTGGGAACGACCAATCACAGGGTTCCACAAGGTGGCCGGGGATTGGACAACCCGGCCACGAACGAGTATAAAGCCAGAACGCTCAGAGCTCTCGGGGAGTTCGACGACACGAAGACCCAAGAAGGCGGAAGAAGCATAGGACCCTGGACCAAGCCCTCCAGCCCTTATAAGGGCTAGGGTTCAGAGTAACCAGTGGTCAGGGAGACATCTCCCTAGGTCCAGTCAGAGGACACTGAAGGAGCGGGGTATGAGTAGCCTGTAGGCTTGTACGTTCGGAGTGTAATGGGTGAGGGGACCGTATACCCCTCAGTGCATAGGGACTGTATTCACAAATAAAGTGTGTGCTACTAAAAGACGTTGAAGAGTCTGTCTGTACAATACTACACATGTAAGAAATGAAATATAACATGCTGTCGATTGACTTTACAAAACAGTGCTTGTTATGAAAACGTGGGTCACTTCATAGGTCACCAATAGCATGCTGTCCTTCACGCATTTTCCAGTGAAAACAAAATGTTTGTGCGAGACAGACCTTCGGTGGAGACACGAAGATCAAAATTGTTACATCTAGCAGACCTGCCTGTTTGCATCACGAAGATCATTACCGTCACGGACATTGTGCTGCATCTATGTAACTCGAATGTAAAATATTGCAAAGCCTCCCCCATCAGCTCATAGCTTTTGCTTTTATTATATTAATGTATAGCCCCGTGTCAATCCACCATTCAATGTCAATCGTGGGGGATGTTTAGGGGGTGGCAAAGATTAGTTCGGATTTTACTCACCACTGATGTCAACTGAATGATTCAAATCAGTACTGTGTATTTTTTGACACATTACAGGAGGGATACAATGTGACGCTTATTCGCTATGCAATCATGGCGAAGTCGTTATGGTGCAGTCCACGCTGTTAGGGCAAATTTTTTTGTTTAAAAAGTGAAAGTTTCTCTCTAGGGACCGTCCATAAATGATGTCACGCGATTTTGGACGATTTTTGACCCCCCCCCCCTCCCCTCGTCACACGGCGTCACAAAAAGTCCGACCCCCCCTCAAATATGACGTCACAAAGCTCTGCCCCCCCCCCCCCAAATAAAACATGCTTCAAATCGCTTTAAACTATTGTCATTGTAGTGCGCATTTAATGTACCGCTGCACTCTGATGTTGTAGGAGAAAACATTTATTAAAAAGTCTATTTAATTAAGTAGAACGTGTTGTCTATATTTATTTAAAGTTGCTAATTTTGATGTGACGTCACATTTTTCACCCCCCCCCCCCTCGTCACACATCGTCACAAATGTCTGACCCCCCCCCCTAGGTGCGTGACGTCATTTATGGACGGCCCCATAAAGCACCACTCCATTTCTTGAGTGGGATCCTTCTCTCTTTGACCTGCCTTGAATATATTTCACCACTCAAACAATCGCTCTTCAAATGATACCTGGCCCGAGCATGAATGGAAATAACTGACCAATGCGGAACGTAGGACTGGATGTGCTGAATGGGCTCTCATGGAAAGTCACCGGTGTGTGTGTGCCAGGGTGAGTCATGAGACTGCCAGACTGCTTTGTGCCTCTGCGCGCTTATGTAATAATCACGTGCGTTTTCGAATCGAGTGGCTCCCAGCATGGGCTCCATCCGAAGACAAAAATCACCCGTATAACCTTAACAAACTGTTGGAGCAAGTGTTGTTAGCGAGTGTCTATGATGGCACGGCACACGGTCAACCCATGTATAGACTGAGTGCTGCCATGGGAATGTGGAATTTATACAAGTGGCTCAGGTCTTCCAACGAGAGTGAGTGCTCGCCCAATGTTTGAATGAACACGAAGGCATTTTAAGTTTCCATTACATTCATAGCAAAACATGTTTTAAAATGTATTAAAAGCCCTATGTCAACTGCTTAGGTGAAGATGTTTCCATTCCATATCATGAGGATTGCTAGACCTTATTTCTTCTAGATTTGAAGCTTTCTTGACTGCAAGGATTCATATTCTTAGCTTTTTTCGGTAAAGTCACGTACTTTTATTAATTTTAATTTTTTACCTACGTGACTTTACCGAAAAAACCTAAGAATATGAAGACCTTATTTCACCAAATTTGTCCTTGCAGATTGGTAAAGGTGGATGGGATTAGGTTTTGGACCAGATCAGATATCACTCACCACTGATGTCAACCGTGGCCAGGAATTTAACTCAGGTCACCAGGTCCAGAGCTCAGTGAGCAACCATTTGGCCACTGCTCCACCATAATTCATGTAAAATGTGACCTATTTCCTAGAAATGCCCCCTTTTACCAATAATATAACAAATGCATTTCACCTAAAATAAAAGTATACTGTATTCAACAAACATTCAACAGAGCACAAGCGTATGTTTTATGACAATCTATTAATCGAATGCCAGTTACTAGTCAATTGACATCTTTCAGGTATGTTTTTGTTTTCCGTTTTATTTCAGTACAAAGCCAGAAAGCAAAACTGTGCAATATTCCATACACGCTGTTGACAATGTTGACGTTGTGAAATGTGTTGACAGAAATTGTAACATTTGTTTCCAGGAGCTGCACGAAATAAATGCAAACAGGCTGAAGATGCAAATTATTCATTAGTCTGATGCACAGATGGTATTGTAATGATGTACACACATTGAGAAAGTGAGCGCATTTTGTAAATATTTTCTTTATTAAAAAGGGATTTTTTTTTCTAATTTGCAAACTTATTTAAAAATGAGCAATGGAATTGCAATTGTACGTGATGACCTTTTAATACAGGGCAATTCACTAAACGACGAGCACATCGATTCAATGTGATTAATCACCAGACTAGATAATGCCCCCTCTGTTGATTGGCCTCACTAACCAACCAGGCTGGTAAAAACGTGTGCACATGAATAAGGCCCAATATGAAACAAAATTAATTATAAATTGTTAATTAAATCACACGTGATAATTTGATCACGTGTTTTCTGGCTAAGAACACATCTTTATGGAGACTTTGTGAAATGAGTGAAACATTTTCAATGCATTTTTTAATAGTATTTGTAACATTACACATTGCGCTTGGAGCTCCGGTGTTTGAGCGCTAACAGGAGTGTCTTTTAAAAAAACATGTAATTGCCTGTCACTATTATGAAAACTAAGAATAGGTTTTACTCCTTTCTGGCAATAAAACAGGTGTGAAGATGGTCAAACACCAAATATAAACCATTTGCAAGGAATTACGTCTGCATTAACCACACGTACTTGTGGTGAACATGCAAACAAACATGCTCTGATAATTATATATACATTGTCTTTGAAACTGATTGACCTACACCAGAGGCAGCATTCTGCCGTTCACTATTCATAGACAAAGGAGATACTGGCTATATGTGAATGCTTTACTTTGGCACAAATGGTACTATTGTGACAAACACACAATGAGCGATGTGGCTGCAGGTTGCACTGTTAATTGTTATTTGCAGGCAATGCCCCTTCGCAGTGAGGAGACGCAACGCAGCAGTTCCACGGTACATCACAGCAAGTCCAATAAGACCCGAACGGCGTGCGTTTGCATATATTTCATAAAGCTTCTACCACACCGCTATGTGGACAAACATCACTTCACGGTTGCAAAAAAAATTTAAATACACTTTTTTCTGCAAGCAAATAATTGTATTACCATTAATAGTCTTTGAAGATAAAATCGTTTATTTTAATATCGTTATGTGCCAGCACAACCATTGGCCATGTCAAGGTAAGGATACAGTCCATATTTTCTCATTTATAATTCAGTGCATGCAGTTAATGTACATTGTTTCACATCGTTATTAGGAATGTGCACCTAACTGGACTTGAACAATAGTGACTGACATAGGAATATGAACTGTCTGTAGCCCATGGAAGCCTTCAAGGCATTCAAGCAAAGTGAACAAAGACAATCTTAAGAAAGAAATTCATGTCGGGTTGTAAGAATTAATTTGATGGCAGATAGCTCTTACGGTGAATGCAACACTATACTCAAGAAGGGAGCTCAAGGCCAATTGGGAGGCATGACCAATCGTAACGTGCAATGGTGTTAAATGCAAGATGATGCTCGATTACAAGTGGAATTGTTGATACTGACATGGAGAGGGGAGGCGTCATCGAGTGCTGTGTTTGGCTGGCAGATTCTGGTTGTCCACGTTTGCAATGCCAGCCGCCACTCATCAGGGCGGTTATTGGAATTGCTATACCTGTACTACGGCAAATGTGTTTGGATATTTGAAATATGTGATGTCCGTGATCAAATAGCATTTATATCACATTTACTTTGACTGCACCGGGAGAAGTATTAATGAATAACATTAACATTGTGGCCGAACACTATGTTGGCTGATCTTTAGCATTTCGTACCACAATTTTTAATCAAGCATTAATTTAACAAAATAAATTTCAGTATAAATGAATCAAGGTATTTGATAAATCCAGGTCCTTGTTGCTGTTAATTAATACACCAAATTCGTTAAGACTGTTCATTCATCGATATCTGATTCGTATATTTTATTTTTTGCAATTGGTAATCAATATTTTGCCGACACTGTAAATATGGGCATCACATAATTTACCAACTTCTTGGTTCTTTCGGTAAAGTCACGTAGAATGGAAATAATAAAATAATAAAAATAAAACACAATAAAATAATTCTCACGACGTTTCGGCCACAACGTAAGCAGCAGAGTCTTGTCTGTCTCCCCGACAGCCCTGTTCTTCACCTGAGGACGGCTGTTTGCGTTGTCGCCGAAACGTCGTGAGAATTATTATGTTTTATTTTTATTATTTTATTATTTCCATTCTACGTGACTTTACCGAAAGAACCAAGAAGATGAATCCCTGCAGTCACGAAAGCTTTAAATAGAAATATAATTTACCAAGTCAATTTAAATACAGCACAGCAGCCTTCTTCATAATAAGGTGGTTGCTCAATTGGTCTGGTGGGGATGATTTGTTGAAATTATTCTGCCTCTAAATTATTAAAAATTGACAGTGGCTTGGCCATTCCATTTAGACCATGTTTGCCTTTTGTTCTGCAAGCTCACATGAGTGAGTCTGCCCCCTTTGCCTGCGTGTCATTGGCACAATGTAATTCTGCAAATGAATAGGCAGACTCAATATAGTGGCATATTGATTAATATCTGGCTGTCCTTACTTAAGGCTCCAGGTGTGTGTGTATGTTTATATACATCCGTTCAGTAACACTATGCTATGCTAGCCATGGGCAAAGCGGTTCAAAGTAAAAATGCAGTTTAATTTTGATGTTGGCGAGTCTTTGGTGGTTTTCAAAAAGGTGTGCCGTGCTCCCGGCAGGGTTAAACCCAACTTGACCTCTCCGTGCCGTGCATTTTTTCTCCATTCTTCACTGTGAGCCTCCTCAGTTCGTGTTTTCTTGGATGACATTGAATCTCTCCTTCAGACAGATCTGAAAGAAAATAAAGAGCAGAAGTTGAAGCAGTATTCGGGGACTTCTCTCCCCACCCCCCCCCCCCCCTACAAGGGTGGCTAAACACCGACAGTCAAAAGAGCAAAGTCAAAAAGTCGTTCTCGTTTATATGAACAATAGGGTGGCCACTCATCTCTGTTTGTGGCCCTGGGCTAGTGGCAAAAAGCACACATTCCCATAGCTGGGGCCAGTCTCTCAATTGGACATATACAGTGAACTTTCCTGAAGTTGATCCTCAATGTGATTTGAACTCACAACCAACCAATGCTGATTCAAGCTTTACAGTTATATATGTGGCTTTATTAACATATTAATGTGAACAAACCCACATATATACTTTGTATGCTTACAATGTAAATGCAGCACGTTATGGGATCTACCTGATGGGAAATAAATGTGCCGGCAGCTCCTGTTTGCGAGCGCATTACAATGTCGCATATCGGACCAACACATGTCCACCCTAACCAAGAAACTGCCCACACCTCGTGGAGTATTTGTGCATGGTGAAAATGTCACTTTGTTTAGATGTCCACAAATATGACCTCAGATACAGGAATGTATTCTTTATCTGGCGTACATTTAATTTATTCTGTAGTACAGGAAAGCATGTTCCCATATTTAAAGCAGCTCACACTTAATTTTGTCCAGTAACCTACTGATACATATCTAACATTTTAACATATACAGCTGTCCCCAGCGAGTCGGACATGCAACGTTGTTGTGTATGGATGGATGTGAAAGCTGTCTCATCACCTGGCATGCCGACGGCGAGGCCGATCCAACTCCTCTCGACACCTCTGGAAGGTCTGCTCCAAATCGGGACTCAGCTCCACTTTGTTGAAGTCGCTTGAACAGAACGCTAGCCTGTGAACACGCGACAAGTTTGAGACCCAATGTCTGGAAGGAGCACGAACCTGTGCTCTCAAACATTTTTTAGTATGTAGGGTCAAAGTTTGATTTCAAACTCCAATTACCACTAAAGTTCTACATAGCAACCAGTTATCAAACTCAGATCGCTGGGACCAGAGTACAGTGCCCTAAACACCATAATACGTTTAACTACACTGTCAGTTATGAGGAAAAGAAAATCTATTCCATTCCAGTTACATGGTGGACGTCTATTTCCACATTGGCAAGTGACACAGTGGAATTAAACTCTTGGCTGCCGGCACGTCATCCGCTCGCTCACCTCTGCTGCGATTCGCCCGACTTGACGCGAATCTTGCGCAAGAGCAGCTGGTTCCCGTAGTTGCCCTTCCCTTGCGCCCACGGCAGGAGAACTTTCATCTGATGCCAGACACTGCCCCAGGTGCTCGTCTTGTCCCAGCGTATGCGGATTTGCAGCAGATCTCCCACCTCCACGTCCGTCGTCACAAGGAATGAGTAGGTCCGGTTCGGACTGACCTTCTCTACCCTGGGGGTGCAGAGACGGTAGAAATCAGTTAGCTTAGACCAGATGTTTCACTTGTCAGCACGTATGTTGAACTTCTTTCGCACCATATGTAGCCAACCATGCTAATCGGAGGTAATGATCAGGACCACCACAGGTGGAAGAACTTCCGTGGTTTTAATTTCTTCGTGTGGTCAATAACCGTGAATGATGTGATTGCCATTTTAAATGAGACGGTTACCAAATGACCCTCTCTCTTATTGGCCGTGTACATACATCGGCGCGACTAATGTTCTGCGCACCTTAGGTAGTACCGGTTTCTGCTCTGGCCCATGTACGACTGCGAACGTGGGTGATGTGACAGCAGCATCATTGTCATCGTCACCGTCTTCCTCGAGATCGTCACTCGCTGGCTATGTACAGCCGTAAGCAGCTATGTCATTGACTCCGTTTATGGTAGTACTCTACTCAGCAAGCATCACACTGACTTTGAAATGAAAGTGGGATCTGTAATGATCGATGATCCGATGTGAATGGTGTGGGGGGGTAAGGGTGGGGGAGGGGGCAAATAAAAAATGGCAGTCTATCCATATGCTCTTTGTTAGTACTCTCGGATATGGATACGAATATATATTTAGCGTATACAAAAGGTATCACAATAACAAATCTAAATCTATTATAAGTGAAAAGAATTCCATCTAAATAAAGTTAGTTATGTGAATATTTATGGCATATGGCACTGTTGAAAAGCTGCTCAATAAAAGTCAATGTTCACAGTTAATTTTTCCACTTGATGAGTGCACACAAATGGGTCCCACAATGCCTAGGCTCTGTGTCCTGTTCTGCAGAAGAACACGATGTGGCCATGTGCATGCACAGTCCTTTATCTAGTCCACTGCTGGATCAGGGCCAGTCGAATGCTACAGTATAGTCACACAATGAAATCACTGCTGCTTTAACATCAAATAAACAGGCTTAATACAAATATGTAAAACGCCCTGCCTCGAACAGTGTTCTTCATTGCAAGGCCCGCAGGCCACCAACGACCCCTGGTGGCCTTTAGTGCGGCCCCCGACAATACACGAACACGTGACAACACCCCCCATCGTTGTGCCGTCAAAGCCGACGATGGTTTGAAATGTGTGGCGGACTTCACCCTGATATCATATCGGCGAAAGTGGCGCCCCGAAGAAAATTATTGAAGAAAACTGTCCTCGAAGCTGTATCCGGTATAGCATGTCAGATTTGTATTAGTAGATCACAGAGTAAGATGGAAATAGTAATTTGACCAAGGGCAAGTTGAATGGTAAAAACGTAAACAAAATACACAACTAAACCGCACGAAAACATCTCTTGAGGATCAAAAGTCCTCCTTTGCTGCTTTGTCACCTGTTTGCACAGAATGTACACTGTACAGACAATCACATGAAAGCTTCTACTAAGACGTGCATTTGCAGAATGTCTTGCAAGTACATGGTTGTTGATGAAGGCAATCGAGCGAGTCACTACGTTACTTATGAATGCCTAGCTCGTGATGTGGTTAGAGAACTCGACCCACAATACACGATTACAACTGTGCGAATAAGAAAATAACAGCAACAGTGGTTGCCCTATGGAGAAACTGGCTACCACCATGTGAATGTGAAATTGCCATCACTTGCTCAGGGTAAAAACAACAGATACGATTGCCCTAGGGAGATTCAGATGTGACGAGTTTTTGTGTTGATTTAGCCACCGTCACACGAGGATCATTAATGACGAAATCAAGGCATCGTAACCTTTGCGTAGGCATTTTCTATTCACGACAGAATGGAACCTGCCATTTGCTACTGCTACTAGGCCCGTGCAGCTCTGGAATCGGTCAATTATTTCAATCAGTACATTTTTCTACAGTCTACACTGGTGTGCGAGAGCCATGAATGCAGCATCCCATGATGAATGCATGAACCTGTGAAATAATGTATGGATTAGTGAATGCTATAAAAAAAATTAACACATCAATTACTGTTAGCAGTGATCCCTGGGGTTATTGTCGTGGTAATATTGTATTAAAAAAGGGCTTTAAATTATGATTATATTGGCTTTACATTCATAGTTAAAGTGAAAGTGTACCAATGTTCATAATAAACATAAGCAAGTAGTAATTACAGTGGTGGTGAAATATTCCACATTCCGGTTGCTCAGGATCCACCCACCTGCTTCCCTGCATATAACACGGAACTATGAGCAAATGTATCGACTGCAGAACAACTTTTCGCCTCCGTCGAGGACCCAGTAAAACTATTGACCGATCGTCTTTAAACTCGCCGTGGCTTCTGTTTAGAATGGAAGCAGGAGACGTTACATTCTTCTTTCGTACAGCTGATGTATTAGATGCAGAGCGTACAACGACAATTTCCCATTTAGGTGGTCAAGCCAGATAACTGCATCAGGAATAGCGGAGTTGTATCGCTGGGATGTCTCCTTCGTATTTGTGGATCTGTAAGTGTATCTTTATATGCTGTGCGGTCTGTTCTGGATTACCACAGTCGCGCACGGGAGAGTTTTCCATTTTCCATTTGTGCATCATCACGTATCCACATCTGCCATCGTTTGTGCTGATGCGGTTTAGGATGGACCATGAGCTTCGTGGAAGGTCAAACGTGACACTGATAATAACGAGCCGGACCTTCGAGTGGCACGAGTGGTCTGACCGCGCGCTTATTTTCTACAAAAAACGTACGTGGACATTTTGAGGTCGTTTGCCTCTCCTTTGGTGCCAAAGAGCGAGACGCTCAGCGCCGGTTCCAAAAACTCCTCGACCTTCTCGGTGAGCCCCATCAAGTGAACCTTCAGCTGGTAGTGATAAACTGGGAAATAGGCACAACATCGACGCACGTTATCGCAGACAGCTCGCACGTAGGAATGATAACACTAACATTGACAATACTTAGCAATGCGTTCCAAAGCAAGTCACATTGCCGCTTCTTCGGTGCTAATATGCAGTTTAAGTAAACACAACGAGGAATTCTGTGTTTTTACGACAATGTTACTCTTCTTTCTTGAATGTTGCAAAATATAATTGCGGAATGGTTACAAGTTGAACTGCTGTAACCCTGAGCTCAATAAAACATTCGCTTTTTCAAAGTTGCAAATATGTAGGTACAATCGTCGTTGTGTTTGGGGCATAACATTGCATGTTTAGTACACTCTCGAGAACACACTGTGATGTTTGCAAACGATATCACGTCAAAGGATACATGTCCTTGTGCTGTCTACTTAATAAGCAGAATTTAATTATGTATCTCCATAACACACCTCTTTTTAGTCTAGCTTTTTTGCTTTCCAGAGGAATATTAACAAGCAGCATTTGTTTAAGCAAGCAAACCCGGGACCGGTTTTGACCTTCTGGGTCTAATCAGCATAGTCGGGCATGTAAAACAAATGCGAATGGATCACAGGACGTTATTGGCAAGCGAGCTTCCTCTCAACTATGGGACCCCATTACATTCACATCGCAGTTACAGTATCCTTAACAGCATATACGTGCAGCAGAAGCACACAGCCGCAACACGACGATGTGTTACCCCATCAGCCCCGGCGTAGTCCAGAACAACATTTAATTCACTAAGCATGTTCGTGATTATGACTATCATAAATGCATTGAATCCTGTGTGACACAGAATATATGAATGGCTGTACAGTGTATGCAAATTATATATCATACATTGGTGGCAGTGGTTAGTGCACTGCACTATGAACTTGAGTTTAATTCCTGGCCACGGTTAACATCGGTGACGAGCCATATCTTATCGGGTCCTAGGTGCACTGCCGAGTAAGGCGAAGTGTGGTCAGACGGCCGCATAGCTGACACGATGCGGGGAATCCTTCATCCAGCAGTGGATGGACATTATTTTTTGTTACAAAATTTTATCACGTTAAGGGAGCAAACAAAACCGTACAATTGAGACGAACTTTTTAAAAGAATACTGTGCAGTTAAAATTAAACTAAGAAAATAAGAACGTATTCTTGGATCAGTAGACACATTTCTGAGTGGGTGACTGCATCACTACTTAATTGCCTTATACAGGATTCACATTGGACTAGGCATGAATCCTCAACTCGCATTTCTAAAGGCTTGCCCTATAAAATCCCAGTCGGGGTTTCTACTCAGCCAATCATCTTTCCGTGGTGAGTAAAATGATGAGAAGTCCACAGCGTTCACTCTCTACAGAAGCCTGTCCCCAGCCATTCACTTCAGCAAATTTTCTCAAGTTGCTCAGGGGGTGCCACATTTGAGCAGGGCGACACCACAACTTTGGACTTGAATGCTAATTACATCCAACTCATTATCAGCTAATGCACAGAGAGTGATGCGCACGAGTAAGCTAGGTTCCAATTTACTCTCATTTGAGTCAGTCTATCGCAATTGCATTAATGTGGCCCACTTCTGTGATGCACAGTGGATATTATTATTATTATTTAAGCAGCTTCCAAAAAAAAATCTATATTGCTTGCCTAGACGCAACAGAGATAGCTTGCCAGGGGGTGGTATGAGTTTGGCACAACTTGTATAATTTACTGAGCATATACACACGCAGCTGCATCTCCAGACGCTGCACATATTTGTGGGACATGTTTGATGGTGAAAAGGGATGCGTGTGTGTGTGTAGCGGTTAGCGCTGCACTACGAACCCGACGACCCGAGGTCGATTCCTGCTCACCGCCAACACCGGTGACGATTATCTGAACCGGTCATGGGCCTCCCCTAGATCGACTCAGCCTCAAATGAGTACCTGGTGCGGTGTGTAAAAAGTATTGCCACTGGTGAGACAAAGGCGGTCGGGCATGGTGCTGGCCACCCACCCCCTCGTGTACCGTGCCGGTCTTCATCGGTGCTCGCTAACAGCACTTACACCAATGGTCTGTTAACGCTATACGGGGGATCTTTGTCTTATATGTATATTTTATAAAAAACAAAAACATGAAAGAAACAAAAACAGCCAAAGGCAGTAGAGTAGTAGTGTACAGTGTTGGGAGATAACAATGACATTGTCTTAGACCATTTGTTTTAGTGTATCCCCACGTAATGCATTAAAAAACGGAACTCGTAAAGATCTCAAAGATATTTTACACCGCATGCCTGCGTATGCCCTCGGCTGCACCTCTGATATTATTGTTTATAGAGCAATCATCTACCTGAGAGCGTTAAAAGTGTTACTTTCCCAGGCCCTCTCCTCCCCCTCCCCATTGTCTATGGGTGTGGGGTGCGGAGTAGAACCCTCGATTGGGTGAGGTTACCTGCGGGTGGCCCGCAGGAACTCAATCTTTTTTACGGCTTGCCTCCGTTTAACTAAACTACTCAACTTTTTTTTTTACCAGGTAAGGCCCACTGGGTGCAGGTCGGGTCATGTTCATTGCGTCGTATCCTCCACGCACCCGCAACAGCAATCTGTAAACACCACTGAGCTACGACCAGCTTTGCGGGCCACCCGCAGGTATCCGTGAGTATCCAACCCGATGAAGGGCTCCAGGGGGGAGGTAGGATGAAAGGTGCTGCAAAAGTTGTGGTGACTCCAGGTACAGAGGAATTCAGAGGCAAAGTATCTTACTGAGCAAACGAACACGGCGCATTACTCATCCCCAATAATGATCCCTAAAGCAGTGGTGGAAATTCCACGTTCCTCTAGTTGTTCGTTAGTACAACCACTCTTGACTATCCACAGAGTGGTACTCATTTTGTCAACCCTCGAGGCATTCTGGATTGAAATGACAGGCAATAAAAAATATTATCATTAAATATTCGGCATGTAACAATTTACCTGCCAAGCGATTTCTGATGTGGGGATGCATTTAGAAGCTATATACATCTCAATTGTACTGTCTACTCAAGGTTACTGAGATATGCCACCATCATCACTCAATATTTAGACCGCGCCTCCTATGCAGTACATTTTGAGGTGCCCCGAAGCAGGAGACCGCCCCCCCCCCCCCCCGGTGGCAGCTTTCCCTGTGAGGCACATGTTGAACACAGCACCAGGCTACAAGTTACTCTGCCAATAGTGGGTTGCTGTGGAGCTCGCTTGCCAACTGTGAGATTCATATAAATAGAAAAAAACGTTCCGCCCCTCCAAAGCACAAATGAGTGACCCCAGTACACCCGACGGTACGGCCGTGCAGATCCCAGCGGACGTACCCTTGAACGGCATTGCGGCACTGGTGCGCAGGAAGAGCCTGTGGCTGCGCCTGGGCCGCACGCGCTCCACACCGTAGCCCATTCGGTTGCAGCGGTGTCCGCCGCAGCTGAGGCACATGCCGCGCTCAAACCGGCCCATGTCGGTGCAGCGATAGGCCATGCTCTGCTGGTCGGGGTGCAGCAGCGAGTCGATGAACAGGTGGATGGAGCGCTCGTGCTCACACTTGACAGTCTCCACGATGCCTGGGATGGGGGAGGGGGGGGGCGCGGTTGGGAAATTTTAAAAGATTCGCCACTGGAGCTACAGCGGTGGTGATAGCTACAACGACAATCGAGCCCATGGAGTACAAATGTCGTAGAATCATCACCATTGAATTGCATAACCAACGACTGAAAAGGGTAAATACGTCTTTTAAACCACAAATCCGTAAAAAATACACAAGAAGTACAAGTTCATAAAATGCATGGATGCACATTGAGTCCTTAATATATAGAACAATTCATGGAAGGTAGAGCATGGGCAGGCCGAAATTGAAATAGAATATGTACAATATATTGGGAATCATGGGACACTAACCACCTTCAACTCTGTAAAATCTTTCCACAATAATAATATAATTTCTATGTATACTCGGAGTTGGTTTTACCTAAAGTGTGACTAAAAAGTCAAAGTATCTCCGTGGTGACCCTGAGCTAGTAGTGTCAATTCCACTTTCTTATGGTAGAGACCAGTCTATCCACAATTGACATTCCACAAAGTGGTACTTTATAGTCCATGGAGAGATAAAGCGGGCAATGTGGCACTCTGCGATGGTGTCACATGGTTGATCTAAATTTCCACCGCATAATTCTTCTAAATGCTTAGTAAATCTCTGAACGAACCTAATTCCTTGACTGCTTTCTCTCCCAAAAATCAAATTGGATGTGCACGAAGTTAATGCCCTAGACAGAATGACTGAAATCACAGCACGGCTCTGCTAACATCTGCTTCCTCTGCAAATGAGGCAATGGTGCCCTCACAGAGTGTATTATAAATGTGCTCACAATATCGGTTTGGATTTCCCCAAGGATGTACTGCATGGCAATATATTGTTGACGATATTTGTTGTTGCTTTCATCCGATAAACGGGACAACATGTTTGTAATCCGTGGCTGTGAGATGGCACAACCCCAAAGTTATGTTACATAACCATCATGAGGCTATCAGTGGTCAGACAAACATTTTTAAATAACACATTTAACTTTCGCCTCAATTAAATTCGAGATACAATGTTAGTTTTGCGTTGAGTGTTCTTGGCAATAACAACTGGTAATCTAGCAGCATTTGTTTATCAAGCCTGACTCTGATGAAGAGGCCCAGAAATGTCAAAACTGATCCAGAGTTTGCTTTGCCTAAACCAGTGCTGCTTAATACTATTGGGCTAAGCCAATATAAGCAGATTAACTGACTCTTTTATTTATTTTTAGGTGGAGACACAAAATGGAACTGTTTATATTTTAATTCCAGGATTGCAAGTTCCCCATGTAATGTGTTGCTGTGTCTCACATACAACATTGCAACCTAACTTTTGCTGTTACAATGCGCAATTTGTACCTTTCATTCTTGATTTGAAGCTTTCGTGACTACATGAATCCATTCTCTTTGGTTCTTTCGGTAAAGTTACGTAACTACGTAACTACGTGACTTTACTATGTGACTTTACTTTACCGAAATAACCAAAGAGTGTGTGTACATTTCACTCCAGCCAGGTGGTGCTGCCAGTTTGACTCACAAATGGAAGGTTGCAAGATTAAATCTTGGTCAGGTGTTGACTCAGCCCCATCATCCCTACCAGGGTTGACAACATGTAGAAAGCCAACGGAGGTTGTACTATGGACAGACTCACTCCCCTCATCGAAGGAATGTGACGTTTGTGGGAAGGGATTCATCCAGCAGTGGATTCCTCATGGCTAATGATAGCAAGAAACCTGATTGAAAATATGCAATACATAATGATAAATAATTATTCTGGTTGAAAAAAACCCAACAATACAGCGAGCAAAGGCACGGTGGTACCGGCGTACCCATGAATCCCATGTCGGCGATGTTCTTGTAGGCGTTGGTGAACACGCAGCCCGGCTGGAAGTGGCCTCCGTTGGGGTAGAAGTCGGCGTGAGCCACGGGCTGCTGGATGCCGATGCTGAGGCCCAGGGTGCCCCGCGTGAACGTGTGCACGGCGTCCACGAAGTGTGCGTCGTTCGGGGACAGCCGCTCGTCGTCGAGCATTCCCTCGAAGGCCGGCCCCGCCGGGTCCAGGCCTGTTGTGGATGGTGCAGAGCGCGGAGTTGCGAAAGCTGCACTTTAAAGCAAAAGATAAAATGGGCAGCCCTGAAACTGTTTGCTCACGCAACTGCTGGCGGGAGGGCCTCCGTTGGAGGGAGCTCTGCGGAGATCCCCTCTAGAGGGTATTTTGGGCTACTCTTGCCAGATGGCCAGATGTCTTCAAAGACTTGGGAATATGCACAAGAATACATTGCTATATGTGAAAATGTTGAACCATCTATTGATGTGAACATTTATGGAAATGACAGCTACAACATTCACACATGCAGGTATCCCTCGATTTACGAAAGGGATGCGTTCTTTAAAAAAACACGTAAAACGAAATTTAGTAAATCGGAATGGCTTTTCCCATTAACTTAATATAAAATAATTAGGAATGTGTTTCGGACAGTTATTCCAACTCTACTCTGAACCTAAAACTATACCTTCATCACTTTTCACAATAAAACAATAATAATAAAGAACATGGTGATGTGAAGGTGTCACTGTTGCACTGTAGCAATACCGTCACACTTTAGTGCATGGTTCTTGTTTAATCTCATGGCGTTTGCCGTGCGAAATTTCGTTAACGTAGACATTCGATTTCGTTAATCGAAAAGTATCCATAATTTGTAAATTGCGTTAATGCAAAATTTATCGGGGTAAAACAATATGTAATGGTCGGTTGTGTGACGTTTAGTATCATAATTTGCATGAGAAACCTGCTTGGGATGTAAGTCAATATTTTTTTTCCTGCAGAAACGGATGCATCCATAGATATTACATTCAAACCTTGTACCTGAATACGAGGTCCATATTTGCTGTCATATCTCCTATGGCCACCTCATTTCCCTGCAAGTATGTGTGTCAATCTATGACTCAATTTAAAGTTGAGAGTGATGCAGCATGGAGCAGTGTTATTTCCGTTGGTGGTAGAATTTCTACCTTCCTATGACTGAGTCCAACATATCTATCGACCAACCATTGTTGATTGCTCACAAATTTAAAAATGTATTATTACAAAATCCCAAAATACAGGGTATCCATAAAGGTATCATTTGATATTAAATTAGACAGCTGTTGGAACTACATCTGTAAAAGTACTCTCACACAAATGTTTGGTGTCATGAAGATTTGATCGAATGAGTCTCATCCATTTAAACCTCCACGGGTCCACATCGTGTTGAGATTAGAGAATCATCGAAGGTGGTCATTTCAGTCGCATTGGGCTCGAATGTTCCGGCCATGTCCTCTCGAAGATCACTCGGGTTTTTTTTGTTTAAACAACTCAAGAATGCAACATATGAAAACACAATATAAACATAACATATTACACCCAACTGCTCGCTCATATAAGTTTTATATAATGAATACCTTTATAAATACTGCATAACTCTGCCTGTAGAATTCCAAAAATATGTTTTTGCTTTCAATTGCCTGTGGAGGAAGATCAACTGTGTATGCTTACGTGCATGTGTTGGATTGAATATGTTGCACATGCCCGTAAAGAAGAGCTGTCTAACAATAATCCGCGCTATTAACACAAAGTCATGCACTTACCACAATGTGCCCCAAAATTTGAAGTTCTAAGTTGTGCGATTGTATTTGCAGATAGCAACATATGGTGCACATTACGTAAATATATTTTGAAATGTGTTCCATTAAATAAGAGGAAATGTCAAGTGGGGGAATATTCAATGATCACATCATGTGCACCCTCATGCAGACACACTTCCAGATTAACATTCTCACATTCAGTCATATCCATGGATAAACTGCCTTTGTAGAACCAAATAATGTTGAGTGTAGGGTGGATTCAGCAAACTGCCTGATAGACAGTGGTATATTCTCGAAATAATCCCATGCATATTCATTGGGTCTTTCGGTAAAGTCACGTAGATAAATTTCGATTTAAAGCTTTCGTGACTGCAGCGATTCATCTTCTTGGTTCTTTCGGTAAAGTCACGTAGAAGGGAAATAATAAAATAATAAAAATAAAACATAATAAAATAATTCTCACGACGTCTCGGCCACAACGCAAGCAGCCGTCCTCAGGTGAAGAACAGGTCTGTCGGTAAAGTCACGTAGAAGGGAAATAATAAAAATAAAACATAATAAAATAATTCTCACGACGTTTCGGCCACAACGCAAGCAGCCGTCCTCAGGTGAAGAACAGGTCTGTGTGTTGTGGCCGAAACGTCGTGAGAATTATTTTATTCTGTTTTATTTTTATTATATTATTATTTCCCTTCTAGTGACTTTACCGAAAGAACCAAGAATCACGTAGATAAGTTAAAAATATATTCAAAACGACGACGTTTCGATCGCAACACAAGCGGTCGTCTCCACCTGATGACGGCCGCTTGTGCTCGGAATTCAATCTTGTGATTTTATTATTATTAGAGTTGCCCTTAAATGTGCTAGCATTTGGCACTCTGCCAGAAGCCCTTCATTTAGGGCACATCTAGTTCTTGACTTGAACGCAGTGTTCTCGAACTTACAATTACAGGAAGTGAGTACACATGTTTGTTGTTGTTGTTGTCTTATTATGTTAATTTACGTGTTCCTAGATCGTCAATTATTCCATAACAAGCCTAAAATCTCCACTGCAGCTTAGACACAATTCCCCAAACCCCCAAATCTACATTACGTTAGCAAGCAACTATTTTGCGCAGAGATTGTTTTATATATATAACAGCATTGATACTACAAACACCACCAATTATGTATGGCATCACGCAGTATTGGCATATGGAAAGTGTTATTAAGTGGCAGCATATGTTTGTGTGGCAAAATATAAAGTGCAATTTGTGTTTACAGTGTTCCTTGAGAAGATAGATAAGTTCAACTTTAGGACAAATACTTATCATTGAAATACACTTAAAATAATAATTAAGACATGTATTACCTTGTTCAGACAATTCCCAATTAATGTCATCCTAAGCATCATTCTGCTTGGGATTTATATTTTTCTACATGGGAATAAACCAGGGTGCCCAGAGAAAAACACTGAAAACTCCGTGGAGATCAAATAATTATTTGATAATTATTATAATTAACCGAATTGCTTTACTGCTTTATACTGGCACCTTGCTAATGCTGCATATGTTGGTGCTTTAGAGCTCAGCCCAGAGCTTTGTGCAGCACATATAATTAAAGCAGTCAGTGGTATCCAATGTTAATAGCTCACGTTCGTATGCCTCGCTACATCTGACTTTCGAGCAACACTGACCTTGGCACCCACCTCAATCACAGTCCTTTATATCCGTGAAATATCGTGTCCATGTTATAAATTGCATTATTATAATATATGTGTAAATATTTACAAATTATGTGATGTGTAGGTTTTCACTATTTAAGCAAACAGTAATTAATAATCCGCATTCCTTTGAAAGGGGTGAGTCTATAGAGGTTAGCCAGTGTTGACTTTCCACAAAGTAATTCCTATATTATCCACCCTGAAAATATGGATAAAATGTTCCATTGATTCTTGATGCTTATTAAGCCTTTCTTGAGTAAAAGAAAAAGACAACCACTGCATAAATGTTATCATGCAAAAGAGTGCAGAGAGAGGTGCTGGTCATTGAGATGGTTCCTTTGTCAATAGGTGTCAAACAGGAGTATCATCAGACAGCCTTACCAGTAATTCGGCCGATTTTGCCGGGGCTTGTGATGAAGCTGCCAGCAAATCCGGCGACATGAGCACCAAGGCTGTACCCCAGGAAGTGTATTTTCTCCAGCGACACGTTGGTCTGCTTCTGTGTAAAAGCCACCGCATGGCGATCACAGAATCCATGCGCACACAGACAAACACAAGGCAGCGTGAGTACAGACTACGGAGCATCACATCTCATTCAACTAGTGGGCCATTTCGACACTTCATAAATGCTCCACTGCCATTGGGAAAACCACATAGCTAGTGGTGTCAAAGTTCACAATGAGACAATTACAAACTGCTGATGAAAATTTTCTCTGTAAGGGGGCCTGCAATAAGTGGCATTGTAAAATTCGAATCAGAATGTCACATTGACATCCAACATAAAACTTGTAGGGGGTAGGATGGGGAAAAACATTTATGGGGCCCCTGATGCCTCTGCTTCCCCCGCTTATTTAGAATTGGCAGGAATCTACGGCAAAGCAAGTTGCCAGCATTATTTGTAACTTGGCATCAAAATTGAGCATATAATGGGGAATTGCACTGTACTAAAATGGTTTTTCCCCTTTTTCTGGCAACAAAACTGGCAATTAGTTACTCGTACAGCACATCGGTGTGTTGCAGAGCAAATCCACAACATTTATAATCTGAGTACAGTACGTTTCTCCAGTAATTGCAACTAGCATCATGAGGTGGACAAAAAAAAACCTAGAATGTTTTATTGTTATGTTTCTCATTTTTTACGAGTCCCTTGTACAGTTTTGTTTACTCCCTTACCCAACTGTAATTTTACGTAACATTCATTATGGCTATGAAGGAGGGCCATTGCCCAACATTTTTCCTTTTAAGGCCGCAGCATTGTTGATGAACGTGTCGAGTTTTTTGCTAATTGTTCTTGTGTACCACTGCCAATGTAGCATCGCCAAATTATTTTGTCAAATTGTAACATTCGCGTTTTATCTGCATGTAGGGAGCAAAAATTATATTATCGCGCGCACAATGTGATGCACGACCACTGTAAAAAACATTGTTTGCAATCGATGATGATTTGATGCATCGTTAAGCACCCAGTAGCCTTCATCAAATGTTATAGAGCGGTCGCCATAATTGCAAGTTAAATGACAAATGTGCAACTAGTTAGACTACAGTGGTCTTGTGCCATAGCATTGCAAAGGCCATGACGGGTCAGCTCAGCAAGAAAATGTGTTGTGACACCCTCAGTGGATGTCTGCACGTTCTCTCACAGTCACATGCATGGTTCATGGTCTCCACTTTATGACCTTTAATGTGATTTATTCTTTGCACAGCTGTGAAAGTATGACACAATGTCATACCAGAGCCAAACCAAATCCACACACAAGATGAGGCAGACTCTCATATTAACCTCAATTGTAACCACTCAGCTGTTAACCATTCCTTTAACAGCATTATATTTTGGAGCTTTATTAAGCACGTAATGATGCACAGATCGATAGATTATTACCGATTCTCAAAGATTGTCAAACAAGGCACGGAATCGTGTGTGAGAGAATCAGTCATGTGATTTATGCAAATGACAGTATATGCGAATTACACGCTAATGTTATCCTTAGGTGAATGGAGTTAACAACATTGCACGACTGCGACGGGAAATTTTTTTGTTAGAAAAAAACAGGAGCTCAACAGCGGAAACTGGACAAAAACAAATCATGATTTGTTTAATTGAATCGCGACCCTGAATCACGGTAACTCACTGCTATGAGGACGTCTTGTCACACGCTATAGTTTGTATCTAATCACAAAACCCAAAGCTGTCTATGTACTGTATCTGACTATTCCCTCCGTTGAAACAAAGTTTAAACAACGAACTCTATTCTGTTGAATATGAACTCATGACTCACTGTTTGGCGAGTTGAGCACTCAACTAAGAGTGGCATAGCTCGATTGATTCACGCATGGCCTCAATTTATACTCACTCTAGCCTGTTGTAAGAACCCCTTTTGGAGGGGCCATCTATGGAGCTAATCCCTTTACTCACATCGATATTGGCAATAGTGTGGCTGAGTGGCAATAATTTGATGAGGACAAAATGCGGAGTATGTCTGTTATAATAATCTCGTTAATAGATGTGTTTTAATTGCAGTAATAAAATCATCATCATGAACATCTTTTTTACGTGCAACTCACGTATTGTCTCATATATTGTCTCAAGTTTTTTTGTGGATATCACTTCTTTGCCTGTACATTCCTATGGGTTCAACAAATTTCGTGCAATTTTGTGGGTACTCGGCAGTGGATGTCCGGTGGAGAAACTGGGTCCTACTATAGGAATGTGGAATTTCCACCACAGAGAATAAGGTGCCAGCCCAATTGCTCATTATCACATGGAGTACATGCACAGTCCTTTGTTGATTGACTGCTGGATGAGGACCAACCCCACGCTGTGCAGGTCATGAAGGTTATGTCGCCATACTTCACCATACTGGTCAGTGTGTGGAGCATAGACACAGGAGCATGTGAATACAGTGCAACAATGGATTTTGCTGCATTGCCTACTACTGCTCACATTGTCGCCCCGCAGTAGCCTATAACACCTGCTACGCACTAGAGTTGACCTTCGAAGTGGACCGCGACCCTCAAAGGAACGGCACCACCCCCTCGGCGGTCACCCCCCGTGATGCGTGGGATCAAACAAATCACTCGATCGAGACACTGGTATGACAGCAAGAGCAGTCTGTGCGAATGCTGTCGCAAGAGGTCACACGTTTGGCGCAACGGTCCTCCGCTGTGAACAATGCGTGAACAAACCAATGCACGGTGCTCGACCCATCCAAGCAAGCACCTTTCAGGCTCAAACTTGCCGAATGAAGAGGACCCCCCCCACCCCACCCCCCGCAACAATTCCATCGCTTCACAGCAGCTGGAGACACCACGAGTGGGTGGACTCATGCCCCCCGTCTCTCCCTCCCTGCGTGCAGCAGGTAGCTCACGTGCAGCCAGTCGACGAAGGCGGCGATGTCCTTGCCCACGACGCGCGTGTTCTGCACGGCCAGCGGGTAGTGAAGCCGTGCGCGCCCCAGCCACTCCACCACCACCACGTTGGCGCTGCGGTCGATGTTGTAGAGCGCCACGGCCAGCTTGGGCACCCACGGCTCCAGCACGCCGCTCATCTGGCGACCAGACAGCGGGAGATCACAGAGCCGTCAAGACAAAGGGTGTTCAAACAAGCCCCCCCCCCCGCCCCCCTGGGGGGCTCATACCAGACTCATATTGACAGGGGCCGGTACTGACCTGTACTGCTAAGGGAGGCTGGAGGGGGCTGAGCCCCCCCCCCCCTCCCTTCCTTCCTTACTCAAGGCTCAATCACCCGATTGAAATGGCTGCAGTGAAGCCAAAAAGTGTTGGTGCAGTACTGAACACCGATGGTGTTTTTTATTCAGCCTTGTGTCATTTACGTCGTGGGTGAGAGCTTAACATCTGCTTAAAGTTTGTCTAAAATGTATAATATTGCCCCTCCCTCCCCGCCTGGGTTTCTGTATGCCCGCTACTAAAGGAGGACGAGAGGTCACCTTAAAACAAGGTCATGTTGCAAAGCTCAACCAGTAAGTATATCCCTGGTGGCATGGTGACAAACAGGTTAATGCACTGCGCTATGGACCCAGCGAAATGAGTTTGATGACTCAGCTATGGCTAACATTAGTATCGAGTGACATCTGAACTGGTCCAGGGTCCCCTTACCCTTCACCAACCTGCACTAACTTGGGCAGTGAAGTATGGAGGGGTAAAAAAACATACGCCCAAGGCCGACACGGTTTAACTAACGGATAAAAATAATACTTGTATTATTAATCTCAATTAGGGCTTTATGGGCTGTATGAACACCGTTGACTCCTTGTAAATTGTCACTCATGTCAGTGACGCTGAAGGGACGTTACGATGAAGGGGACGGACCAGCTGTGAGTCGAGTGCTCTATTCATCAGCCTCTGGAGCCAGGGAATGTGGGTTCGAATCTCCTTAGGGTCTTCTATTTAAAAAAAAAAGAAACAATACCATGTATTTATATACAAGATGATGCATGTTTAGATATGCAATCAATTTACTTTATTCTCAATGCTTTTTAGTGTAGCTATGTTGGACAAAGTATACTCGGAGATTTTTAAAGGATTTAATAAGTTTTCTTGAGATTGGTGGAAGACATGTAGAGGCTGTGAAATAAAATGTTGACATTCTCTACAATTTATTCCCATAATTTATTGGGGATATCTATAGATGGCTCACCATGTATACCCGGTGATAACAAGCATCACACACTATAGTCATGCCCACGTTTTGTGAGAAGTACGATTGCAGAGAGGAAAGACAGTTTCTGGGATAAGTTTTGAACTGTTAATGTCAGGTGCAGCCAACCCTGATATATTTTATAGTGCGTATGACAGAATTATATTTAAACGTCAAAATACACACGTTTGCATAAATCCAATCAGCTGCACCTAACCATGGCTCTCTGCCATTAGTAACAAACATGGGCAGCTTGGCAGGTACACATCGAAGTTATTTCTATCCCCACATGTTAGTGGCACTCATAGTGGTGCGAAAGGAGCCAACACATCTTCCTATTCAAATGAGCAATGGGGTTGTTCTTCTTTCCATTGATAGCCCAAAGCCACTGGTGGAAATTCCACATTCATCTACAGTTATGTATTATGCAATTGGCAAAGTTAGGAGAATTAATCCATTAACGCAATGACAGATTGTTTTAGGCGTATAAAAGAAAAAAACACATTTAATTACTTGTGACTGCAACTCTACTAACAGCATCTTCAGTCCTTTGAAGTGAGATGTAATCATTTATGTTAGTTACATTATGTTGGTAGTGCTGCAGTACATTACTGTCAAAGATGAAGACATTAAATAAGTTAAAGAGCGCTTTTTGGTGGAAAGACAAAGTTTTTTGTAACAATTATATTGTAACACCATTTTTTGTATAATTACATTCTATTAAAACATGCAATGATAACAATAGCTGTCATAGGTGGTTTAATAAAAACATAACATTGTAAAATAAAATATAACTCAAAGTGTGTGTGGGTGTGTGCTATATTCAAATGTATGAATGTGTGGTTGAGTTAGCAAAATGCTTGCATATTTCAATGTCACACTGCAGACGTCAACTTGACCACTGATGGATATTATCCCAACCACAGGATAAACTCTAGGATTGTAATGAAGCTATAGATGGATGTTTCAAATACTTTATTGCAACCAAAAATTAGGTCGTTACAATTATCAATCTGCATGTCACTCATCACCAGCCCTTGACAGGAGGAATTGAGTGGAATAGTAAAGGATATAGTTAGGAGATGAGGGATTTGGATCCTTTCATCTTGACATGCAAAAGTAAATTTCATAGAGTATAAACCACAATGTAATACAGTTATTGAAATACTTTAAGTGTTGTGGCTTAACTGAAGTATGGCATTTAATTCAGATTGTGTCATTGTGGCTGAGGTGGGTCCGTAGTGAAAATGACACATTAACATGGCAGGGGCCAGGCTCTTTATAGGGTGGCCACTCTTCAGTTCCCACAAAGTGGTTCTTATTTGAGTAATCTCAGTAGGATGATGAGCTGTGTGACATTAATAATGGGGTTCAACTCATCTCCTACGTGTACATGTGCAGTAAAACTCATCTTATCCATGGCCAAATTATCTGTTTTTTATTATTAGAAAGTCTGAGCTGATCACAGATTATTTCTGTAAAGAGCTTGCCAGAATTTGCCACTGATAAAAGCAGTCCTCATAACCAATATTAATATTCTAGATTTGAAGTTTTCGTGACTCACTTGATACAGTAATTTTGCTGTGACGGTTCCACCTAAAGGCGGAAGCTTGTGTTGCCTCCGAAGCGTCGTGATTTAATTTATTTACATTTTTTACCTACGTGACAATATTCATATTTCTAAAATGTGATTATTTGGCCATGCCAGAGGATTAAATATGCCACAATTGTAAACGCTATAACTTAGTTCTATGATGGCTGAGGCTGTATATACGCTTTATTCATATATACGACTATCAAAGGATTTTTTTACATGGAAATAATTTTTGTTTTTCTTTTGCAAGGTTGCACATTCTCTGATGTCATATAACTGCCACCACTGCCAACAATATTGGGGTTTGGTCGTTCTTGTAAAAGAGCTGAAATAGCAACTGAGTCTAAATGGAGTGGAAAATTCATCCTATTATCCACATTTATACTCGGACAAGAGTCACTCAGAAGTGATTTTACAAAATTAATCTTCACGCACATTTTTTTGTATCACGAATGACAGGAGTTGCATGGAAAATGAATCATATTAGCCACAATCCCTTTTAACGTAGGATTGTTTTATCATGGATGAGAGTTTTACAGAGATACTTTAAATAACTACCTTCTACAGTAGAGCATCCAATTCACCCAAAGTCTACCGCCGACAGACACAGTTATGGATGAGGATCGATCTAAGGAAAGATCGTAGTGAAATGTCGAGAAATTATCTGAGGCCACCCACCGACCACCCGTGAATGATGAAGAAGGTCTTAGCCGACGCGTTGAACTCGCACGCATCAAGGGACACAGGGTTCTCCAGCACGAGGAGGCAGCCATCGTCCTCCTCAATTCCTCTCTTCAAAAAAAAGTTGGTGTTCGGTTCGGCTGGAACACCGATGATGCTGCCCATGAACGCCGGGGCATCTGGGAAGAGCTTGGTCAAGATGCCTGCATCATCAGAAGGGGTTGTTGGGAAAGGGTGAAGAGAATTGAAAGCCTGAGACGAGGGAGCTCTATGAGATGTACAAATGGCACATGTTGTTGGGCTGATGAAGAGTCAGCCACGCACATATCCAGTGGCATCCCTGAGTCAGTGGTGGAAATAGTGAAATCCCTTAGGCAGGGACCAATGTCTCCATATGACAACCACTGTTGACATTCTGCAAAGCAGTGCTCATTTTATTCACTGTGGAATGATGGGTTGTGCCAATCCCTAACCACATATCTAATTTTGAAGGTTGAGAATGACACTTGACTTTTTCAAGGTTATAAGGAATTTTAAAACCGTGCTCGTATCGTGGGAATGAGTAAAACCAGACCGCAGGCTCGACGCAGTCCACCTTTACATGTCACTATTCCAACAGGTGCACGCCTGTGCTTGCCATCCTGTGGGGAACAACTGAGTGGAGGCGACTGGCTGGCAAAGTGATTTTATTAATTTCCTGTGCAATGTAATATTGACCACAATAAACCAAGAAATATGGTATAAGACGATTACATGAATCGGTTTATACATATTTTAAGAGAATAAAACATGGTTTTAGAATTTGCAGTTGGCATCATCACAATTAACAGTGATACAAACATTGTCTTTGTTATCACCATAACTACTATATCTTTCATCATCATATTAAATATACAGTATTCACCATCATCATGAGTATCTCATTAGGGGCAAAGGCATGGTCCCAATTTAAACAAATATGTCAATGCAATTAATTTTGATATCTAAAATATTTTAACACGTTGGCCAAGATATCGATATTATAAATAAAATATTATATGTCTATGAAAATTACTATATTTTCAGCTCACTAATCAAGCATTAGTCATTATGATGGTATAGATGAATTTGGCAACACTTAATTGCCTGAACCATAAAATTAACCCATAAATGTAATCCTGCGAACACTAAACTACAGGTCATAGAGTTTCACCAATTATAAAAAAGGGTTAACGTGTAACCACACGTCACATATATTACTCAAAACTGCTTGTACGTCATAACTGAGCCGAGCCATGTCTTCAATGATGCCTTTCATGGCTTCTGCAATATGGGTAAAAACTATCACCATCACAGAAAACCTGACTGTAGAATACTACACAAACCTCTTTATCACAGCAATTAAATGCTACGCAAGACATCTTTTCACAGCAAGTTGCCAATCTTAAAAATAAAATGTGGCTTTCAAAACAACACAAGCATTTTATTTCCTTTAAATGTTACATAACACTTTGGTTTTCGAGCTATTTATATATATTGTGCATTGCTATAATAGATAACAGACGATGCATGTAAATACGATTTATTTTCTTATATTTGACATATACCGTATTTTTATTAAAACATGATACAAAAGATATAGTTTTCCTTGAAATGTCTTTGCCTACAAAGTTACAATATTAAGACTAGTATTCTACGTTAATTTACACAATGAAAACTGTATTGTGTGTATGTACTCCCATTGTATATTAAACGACTTAATGACACTATGGGAACCTTTTGGCGTCATCTGGTCCAACCCATGTGAGACTAGGCTCTAAGGAAAGCTGTCTCGGGTGTGGACGAATCAACTTCAAGGACAGTGCATACATTATCAGAGTTATGTCTTTTGTTTGTATTATGACTGCAGGTATTGCGGTCTATGCAAACATGACTCCTTGTAAAAAGGTGTCAGTTTTGTTGCCAGATAGAAGGGTAAACAACCAATTATCAGACTTAATGACAGTTTCAAAAACGGACACAGAAGCATGCACACATACCTGAAATTCCCGAGGCACTGCTGTTCACGTTTGCTGTCCCGGTCTTTAATAAGCAAAACAAAAATAAACACAACACAGTAGTCCTCGTGTTCATCTTGGAAATGTTAGTCTTTTTGATGATTTAGTAAAATTCAAACTAATCGTTTGCAATGTATTGTGGTTTTTTTAATAACAATGTATATATATCGTATGGCTTGTGTTCACTTTAATTCGGCAATACTATGAGTCGTGTGTTACACTCGGGCGGGGGGGATTGCTTTGCGTGATGTTCCAAGGTGAGAGCACGAGTGCATCTGACAGCCGGGCCAGAGAGCTGTGGTTTTAGACACCCATCCCAAGAGAAGAGAATCATCAGACCATTCGTACGGGGCACTTGCTTTGGGGCAACGCTACCATTGGATTAGAGCTGTGGGTCTAGGGCGGTCCAAAAATATGAACGATAGTAACCCTCTCTCTCTGTGTGTGTTTTTTAGTTGATGCCAGTGTTGCCACATCACAGGATTTACCTCTGAATGTAGAGCTTTAATAATACTTCCCTTAAGACAAGCCACGTGAGGGCACACAAATACGACTCTTTTATACGAAACACGTTTGGAAAATAAAACACATAATAGTAAAGCGAAAAGAGACGACAATACATACAGGGTATGTCCTCTATATAATAATGCCCTTTACCTGGGAAAGTCACACTGAGTTTCAATACCTTTTCAGGAGGGCCCTGCAATGCAATGTTTGGATAATTTCTTTGTGAGCAGTGTTTGGCTTCTGGGAGGAAATTGGATTATGCAGTGAACACCTATGCCTACAAGGTGTTAGCACTCAAAGCGCAGCACGCAGCTTCAATCATTAATTGTTGTACTGGCATCTCTTGGCCACACGTATATGTTCTTAAATCATTAAAAATGTGTAAGTAAGAAATTACCAGATTTTTTTGATGAACACAAATAATATATATAATATTTATGTAACAATATATATTTATATTATATAATATTTTCTATAGAAATTTTTTTTTTAATATTACAGTTTAATTATAAAAAAATCCTTAAAAATAAAAATGGCGTTAAACAGGCACCACTCATCGTTCTAATAAACGTATAATACGACGAGTAAAAACATTCAAATATTCAGAACCCTTTAGATTGCTTTAAATGTTAGTCTTATCATGCAAACCAAAATTTAAGAAAACATGTCTCTCTGCTGAAATTGTACTAATCTCGATTGATAGGCCTGGGTCAGTGATGAAATTTCCACATTCCCATAAAGCAGGCGTTGGTAACCGAAAATTTTTGCCATTTTTTTTAATTTGGTGAAAAAAATCTATATTTCAAGAGGCCCATTGAATGTGAATGAATATAAAACGGTCCTCAATAAGTCGTCTTTAAAGAGCTGCAGGTTGCTGACCCCTACCATAGAATGTGTTCCTCTCATAGAACAGCGACCTTCGACTTTCCACACAATGGTGCTCGTTTCGTTTACCGTGGAGAAATGATCAGCAAATCAACCCCGAATCGGGATTTTAACTCACAATCAACAAATTTTGAGTACATCGCTCTAATGCCAGTGCCAATCAGTCAGACTTTTGATTTATTATTGGTGTACTACTATGGCTGGCAATACTATAGTGTAAGTTTTTCCATAGATACACGTGACAAATAAGCAAACATCGTCTCCTTCATGTAACACCTACAGTTGATGGAAAAAAGCCAATATTGAGATTGACTACAGATCATTTGAGGCCGTAGATAACGGGAGTGCGGTATTCGATATTAATTCTATTGATATTAGTTCCATCAAAAACAAGTAAAGTACTTCATTGGAGCCTAGTAGAGGCACTTCATTGAAGCTACACCTGACTGTATGTTGAACTTATTTCGCATCGTACGTAGTATACAGTCGGTGAAAACACAAACCCACCAGTCCAAAGTACAGCATGCTGGTTTGCGTAAAACGTGTTGTGACCCGTTAAGAAATGTGCTCGCCTCTCAGTGACCACATACTGTAGTCAAAAGACGTGGGGGTGTGTGTGTGATTTGTCCAGTTTTATGTCTACACAAAGAGTTATACAGCCGGATGCGTAGGCAGCCACTTGTTTAGTTTTACTGTTTTTCTTACAGGGATCAAAATCCACATTCATAGAATGTTTGCCCCAAACCCATGTTCAAAGCAATGCTCTCTAAGAAGGCCATTAAGACAGTTATGTGGTCGAGTGTACATAAGAAGTGATTGTAGCAGGATACAGTTTGACTTTTGTAGTTTTAATATTTATATTTAATGTAATGTCTCTCTATGTTCTGAAACATATTTAATATACTGATATATTTATATTATAACAGTCTCAAGTAGCTAAAAGCTGAAACTGTTTTGTGACAACTACCCCAAGAGGACAACTACAGTACCTTATAGGCTAGAATCCAACACGCTCTGGTACCGATTAATGCTATTTTGGATACCGTTCTGCCACATTTTGGTGGAATGATGGCCAATTCCACATAGAATCAGAAACATGAAACAATCTTCAATTGTCATTCAGCCAATTCTGCTGAAAAACAGAACCATGGCCCAATTGCCAGGCGGTGGCGACGCACTACTGCAATTCAACACTGTGGAGGCAAGGGTTGTCAGATCACATAAATTGCAGATCACACAAATGTTGAGAATTTTGCTTCCCATGCCCGGGCATTGCCAGAAAGTGGAAAATCAAAATGTGGACTAAGCTCTATTTGATCAATCTATGTGGGATACAGTATTGCCTCCTCGCACACGTTGGATTTATCCAGGTTCTCGTGCATTGATTGGCTGAAAACATATGAATAGTTAGAGGACTGCGGAGCTTGGATAAAGATAGATTAAAAGTGTGATTAAATACTGGAATGTACTTTCTCTAACACAAAAGCACCATTTCAATATATAAATTTACAGTACAATCCGTCATTGCATATTTGCTATACATACCTGTTACACATACTCATGGACAGAGCAAAATGGAAGGCCATGGTCGTTTACACCTTTGAAAAGGGACATAGCAGATAGACTCGTATATACCCAGATAAACATTTCTTATAAGTGACATAATAATACATGAATCAATGTATTAATATCTATGTTTAAAGCCCAAGATGCATGTCTATAAATGTAATAAAGTAATAAAGAATGTTTTAATATGTATGCAGATTACATGCTGTTGCAAGGCTACATTTGGGTTAACATGCAACATTTTGTGATTCGTTAATGTGCAATGGATTGTGATATGGGTGTAGAGTGGTGAGTTGGGGAGGAGTGTCGAGTCGTGAGGATTTTTCGATTTGGACATGAAGTCTAAAGAAATGCAAAAAAATAGTTTAACAACGATAAATAAGATTTGATCCATTTGGGTTCAAGAAAAACTGGTACTGTATTTAGCGAATTTATTGCAGATTCATTTTGCTGCAAGGCACGCACAATATTTGAGCGCCCCCTGATGGACAAACTGTAATGAAAACACTCAATGCTCGTCCGTGCAAGACATCGGGATATTTAGGGATACACTATAAAAGCATTCACATGCCGCCACCTAGCGAATCTTCTTCGATATTGTAATGTGCAAAGTAATCTGCGTCGTGGTGGAAAACGTAAAAAAACTAATTCAACTGACAATTCCGCCTCCACGTATCTGTCACTCCCATTATTTTTTTTATGTTTACACCTGCCAATAGCCACACTGCCTCTGGTCAGCAGAATATGTTTAAAACACTCAAACTCTGGACCGGTTTCAAGCAAAAGTCAGGCTTGCTTGAAACCAATGCTGGTGAACTTCGGATGTTTGAAGATGCGGGACCCCCTCATGTTTAATTCGGGTTCTCGTGTCTTATAGTACAAATCGCAACATTGAAAAATAATGATACCCTAAGGCTTTATATTCCAAAGCGGACGGTGGGAGGAAGTATATTGTGTTAAATTATATTTTTTTGTATTATTCATGAAAGGTCATGGTTTTAAAAGCTTTACATTTTGGGACTGCACCACCACCCCATGGAAGGGTTCTCAATCTGCCTCTGGTAATCTGATGTGACTGTTCACTGTGAAAATTCTGTCGGTCAGTGTCTGTTACACGAAGATGTTGCTGATGGCACTTGTGGAGTATAACAGAGGGGGCGGGCGGGGGAAGTGAAGACTTAAAAAAAAACTATTTTCTTTAATAACTTATGTATTAAATTATTATTTCATGCAGAGCATTTCACAAGAGTGAAAATTTGAACTGCATACCCACATTGTCTTTTCCAAATTAAGATGAGTGGTGCATCATCTGTATCGATTTCGTAAATGTCCAGCAAAACAACACCCCTGGCTTCCCGTGTTGTCGCACATCGCTTCCCCCGTCTATTCCTCACCGGGAAGTCCAGCGAATCTTGGTGTAATGAGACTCACACACACACAAGGGTATTGGTGCACGCGTGATTCATAGTATGCGGGCTTGTTAAATACACGAGTGGGAAATGTGTGTGCACTTCAGCTTATAGCCCTGATTAGCTGCTTAGGAAATACTTCTTTATACCCAATACCGGCGTGGAAGGAGGAGTGTTTCAGTACGTTCTAAACCCGCCCCTGATGAACGTCTGTGAAAAAGAGCTTTATAGCTCATCGGATTTCTTTCCGATTCTGATAGAGGCGGGGCACGGTCAGAGCTCTAGGCGGAGTGCTGCGCTCACAGCCGAGGTGTGAGGAGGCTGTGTCTACCTGCTGCTGCTGATGATGGTGATGTTCTTTATTATTATCTTTATTACTGGTAGGAACCTCCTGGTTACACCAGCCCACAGGGGATTATTGTGTCCGTCCGTCGTGCAGGGAGGGGCTGGGTGGGGAGAGAGGGGCTGGGTGGGGAGGGGAGGGTGGGGAGGGGCTGGGTGGGGAGGGGCTGGATGGGGAGGGTGGGGAGGGGCTGGGTGGGGAGGGTGGGGCTGAGTGGGGCTGGGTGGGGAGGGGCTGGTCACCCCGTGGTGCCCTTATAAAACTCAACGTTTAACCTACTCACGCCGGCTTGTGCCCGCCCTCACAGTCGGGCATATTTGCGGAATACACCACGCCGCCGTTGACCCTGGCCATTGACCGAGCAACCCAACGTTCCTACCAGCTCCCTCCGCAGTAATGTGTTTTAACAGACATTGTGAACGTGGGAGCTCCTGCTGGCCGCATTACAAATGGGAAACATACACCACCGGCAGGATCTCCATACCGTGCCTCGCCACCACCAGAAGTCACGCAGCGAGAGGTAACCTCTGAACCCGCGGACCTTAATAACCTCCCAACAATGCCACCTCAACCCAGGCGACGATGATGCTTGGAAAGCCGATAGGGGGAATCGTCAAAGAGTCTCGCGAGA